TATTAAGATATAGATAATTACTATTCACCAACAACTTATTGATTCTGACAAAGTCATCAATAGAACTTGTCAATAGTGTGCACAACAAAGATTGAAATCAAAGTTTGTGCAAAGAAAAAACTATAAATTTACGCATTAGATAAAACTGAACAGAGAAAACCAAAATTGTCGATATTAGAATAACACAAAGAGCATCAAAAAAAATTATGATAAGAAATAGAACAACCAGATAAAGAGCAACAAAAAAAATTATGATAAGAAATAGAACAACCAGATCGCCTAAGGTTTTTTCTTACCAATCTTATATAAAATCTATAATCATGCAGAAGTTACTTTTCAAGTATGAAAAAAAACAAAAAACATCTAATCAAAAATTGAATTTTGCGGATTGATAGGGAAACCCTCCAAGCTTCACCTTCTCCTCCTTTATCGGGAAGATCAAAACATTCTCAGAAACCACAACCTTAACTGAAAAAACGTTCCTTCGATGAAGAAGACTGAAAGCCACACCATTAGCTTGAAGAGCCATGGAAGCTTCCTTGTTGAGGGAGATTGAGGAGGGATTGGACATGCGACTTCTAGAGGGGGGAGAGGCCTGACTTCCTTGTCTCCCACAGGGTTTCAAGGGCGCGGACTAGAGGTTCCTTCGACGTCCAAAACCATCGCTTTCGTGACCGAAACCTGCAATAGGGAACACGGGAGAAGATGAAGAACGGGGCGGCAAGGTAAGGGCACCAGGGTAAAAAGTCAAAGGAGAAAGCTGGGCCGCGAGCGAGGGGGAGAGTTCCGCGTTCGAGGTAAATCGCGGCAGGCCGCGGCGGTACCACAACCCCAAATATTAGAAAAGGGTGGCGCGGTACCTCGCCGCGTCAAACGAACCCTAAAATTCTCTTAGCAGTTATATCATGTCCTTTGTTTGCAACTTTGGATTTGTCTTTTTATTTATCTTTTAGTGATGAGACACTGCATGAAGCTATTCTTGCTTTCCCTAGTATATATATATATATATATATATATATATATGATTTGACTCCTCACTTTGCAGAAGAGTCAGACATTGGACAACAAGAGAAGACTTCTCCAATCCCGAGAGAATGATGCAAAAGTAATCTAGGATAATTCTAGTATTTGTGTTTAGTATTCTTTTATTTTTTTGCCATTTTCTTTTTTTTAAAGAGTATAGTGTTCTTTTTGAACTGTCCAAATATATTCCTACATGTCTTCTTTATAGGGCTGGCTTCTTTAATGAAAGGGGACTTCCGGGTGATCACTTTTATCTCTTCCTTTGTGCCAAGTGTGGGAATCCCTTTGCAAACCTATTGTTTGGTTTGTAACCCGGGCTCGGCCCTTCTGGGGTGTTTATGGGGCCTTTGCTGTCTGGGACTGACGGCTGCTGCCAAAATCTGTTGATTTCATTTCCAGGAGGGAGATAGTTGCTTGATCAGGTGTTTTAATTATTGTGTCACTATTGATTATGACATGTTGAAATCCTCTTGATCTTCACCAATTCTTTAGTTACTGCATATTTGGTGAAATGAAAATTAACATCCATATGCTTTGTTCTTTCTTGATGAATATGATTTTTGGACAACAAGCAGCACCTTGGCAGTCATATAAGATTGGCATTGTATGCGAAATATGTTGATTAAGTAGCTCACACATTAAACATTTGATCCATAAGGCTTGGTTAACTACGTATGAAACATCAATATACTTTGATTCCATAGTTGGCAAAGCTACCACAAATTACAAACACAATTTTCAACTAACTGTATTTTTAAGCACTTTAAACAAAAAACTAGTGTAAGTATCTTTCTTGTATTTATTCTTGCTGCATAGTCAGAATTTACATAGCTATCTCTTCATGTAGAGTTGTACCACTGCAGATTTTAGTTTCAGGTGGGAGATAGCTATTTAATCAGTTGTTTTCAAGTTGTGCCGCTATCAATTATGATATGTTGAAATCCTCTTGATCTTTACCAATTCTCTGATTACTTCATCTTTGGTGAAATGAAAAATAACATCCATATGCTTTGTTCTTTCTTGATGATTATAATTTTTGGACAAACAAGCAGCACCTTGGCAATCATAGAAGATAGGCATTGTATGTGAAATATATTGATCAAGTAGCTCACACATCAAACATTTGATCCATAGGGCTTCCTTAACTACATCTGAAACATCAATATACTTTGATTCCATTGTTGGAAAATCAACCACAAATTGCAAACACAATTTTCAACTAACTGTATTTTAAAGCACTTTAAACAAAAAACTAGTTCAAGTATCTTTCTTGTATTTATACTTGCTGCGTAGTCAAAATTTACATAGCTATCTCTTCATGTAGAGTTGTACATGCAAATCTCAATGGTTATATCTACTGACTACACTCAGGTTGGTGCCAAGTTAGGTATGATACTAACCATAGCAAATATAATTCTTTTAATTACATTTTGGAAGATATCAGCAGCATGTACATCCTTTTATCATCATATAATAACAATTGATAATTTCTTGGCTTCATATGTTGTGGCAAAGGTGTTAGAACAACTTTTAAATTCTCCATCTCAAATCTCTAAGCACTCTTTTCGAGCGAGCAGGCTGGTGTATAAATGGTTCTTTAGAATTCTTTTTCCTTATATATATATTTCAAGAATCTTGTTTGCAGGACCCAAATCTTTCATAGCAAATTTAGTTTTAGTATTCTCTTAAACTTTTGATATTTCAACCATACTTTCATCAGTAATAAGCCTGTAATTAACATACGAGGATATAATTATTCTTTAAATCTTTTCTATTCTTTAATAATTGTAAAAATCATAATAACATCCATCAAATTTATAAACCACTTTCTCTATGAATGCTTAAGCCCTTGCATGAATCTCTTAAGAAGACATCCGATTTTCAGCTCTTCAATAAAACCATCAGATTATTTTATGTATATTATTTCATGCAAGTCTGAAAACATATCTTCTTCCATTATTTTTTGTCATTGATTTCCTTCAGCTATCTTCAAGGCTTATTTTTTTTGGTTAATCTTCATTCATCAAATCTGTTATAAAGACATGCAATGAGATCAATATATTCATATCTTCGTGGTACTTTGATATCGTGCTGAGGCTATGCGTTACTAATCTATGTACTCTTCTTTGAACTTATTTAATGGCCGGTTGCTTAGATTCTTCAAGATTTGCCTTAACCAATTCTTGGCTATTGACATTATGACTTTCTTACTTGGTTGATCCCCCTTAACCTTCATTGTCCCTTGCATCCATTGACTTAACTTGAGCCTTGCTACCTAAAATAAAAAATTCTATTTGTTGCTCGTTAAGGATTACATCCCTACTTGTCATGCATTTTGTAAATCTTGGCTTCAAGCATCATAGCTTGTATCCATTGATGTTATCAAGATGGCCAATGAAAAGTCATATGACCACTCTTTTTTCAAGTTTATTTTGCTCCCTGATTCTATGAGCATCTTGAAACCAGTTCATGAGAATGGGCATATATTCATACTGATAAGGTGTATTGATGTACTAATTGCTTCAGTCCAATACCTTTTAGGAATTTTGCATCACTCAGCATAAGCCTTACTTTTTCAACAATAGTCGTATTGAACATTTCTACCAACCCATTTTATTGTGGAGTAATTTTTACTATGATATGCCTTGCTATAGCTTGTCATATAGATTTTGTGAGTTCAAGACAAAATTTTAGCTTCTTGTTTGTCTTTGGTTTTTTCACCTTCTTGTAAGTTTGAATCTCAATGATTTTCTTCCTTTCTTTAAACTCTTGTAATGCTTCATTTTTTTTATCAAAAAATTTTACCTATAGTTTTCTAGATTGGTCGTCTATTATAGAAAGAAAATACCTCGCTCCCACAATATGATTCTACCCAAGATGGTTCCCAATGGTTTGTATGAATGTAACTAAGATCTTTATTTGTTTTTGTACGTTTTAAATGAAAACTTTAGCCATATTGACTTCCTAATAGCGCAATGATAACAAAATTCAAGATTTTTAATTTTATCACCACAATACAGACCTTGTTTCTCAAGTTCTTCAATCCCGCTTTGACTTCTATGACCATGTTTCCCATGCAATAATTTGGTTGTATTTGTTGAAATAGCTGCATCCTCGAGTCTGCAGTGACTGTATTTTAATTAGAGAATGCTATACATTATTCAAAGCTCTTTTCATGGCAACAATGAGCCTTTATATACTCACAAGCTTCCATTTTCTCTCTTGAATTTAAATCAAACTTTATATAGAAGTCCTTGTGAAATTAAATTTCTCTTCAGCTCATCTACATACCCTTAGTAATCAAGTTTCTTTTCTATGCTGTCAAACTTCTTAATTCTTATCTTTCCTATTCCCATGATCTTGCAAGTCTTTTTGTTTCCAATAATTGAAAGGTCAAGTATTTCAAACCAAGATTTGTTTAGGTGCACGTGGAAAGTGCACCAGGAATCAATACTCTAGACTTTGCTAGACTTTAATTATAACAACCTTTGTAATTTCCTGTCTCTTCTTAGTAACCTCAGTTTCTCCATTTTCCTTTCCTTTATTAGGCGTCTTTATTTTTCTTTTTGAGCGTTTCTTAGTGAAGTGATCTACCTTGTGGCAAAGGGAGCATTTTATCTTGAAATTGGCTTTGGTTCTTGATTAGTGCTTGCCGTTGAGATCATGTCTCTGCATTCTTCCATGGACCGTAATGCTATGTCTAACATTTTCTTCTCTTGAATCTTCACTATTTTGTAGTAATTTGGAATCGAGGGTTGATTTCACTTTTTCCATAGAAAGACAGATTATTTCATATAGTATAGTATCCATGAAACACTCGTGTCTTTTTGACAAAGAACTCAAAAAGGATTATGGGAAGAACAACTTCCTTGATTTTCGTTGCTTTTGAAATCCATCATGACTTTGTTTAAGTCATCCAACTGCATCTGATATGATTTGGAATCATCAATTTGCAAGGTGTACAATCTCTTCTTCAGGTACCACAACTTGGCAGGAGATTTGTTCAAGTATAGAACTGTGCGCTTTTTTGGCAAGATCTCCAGGGTGCTTTGCATCAATTGGCTGTAAAGCTTCTTTCAACAATGCCACATCAAGGCCGTGATGGACAAGCAATACCTTCATTTTAAGTCTACGTGGCTGAAATCATTTTGCTCAGGTAACTTGTCTTTTGCCATTGCCATCAAGGTTCAAATTCTTGTATTTTGAAACCTTACAAATGATTTTATTCTTCAATCTGTGTTTCATATTTTTAAACTTCAATTTAATGTCTATCAATAAACTTACTTGTGCATGAATCATGTTACTAAATTTTACCCTAATCTGTGTGAATTTCAGGTGATGGACTCATGGAAGGTGATTGACAGTGCTGATATATATCATAGACATTATCTGCTCACGAGGACTCCCACTTCAAAAGGACATCTCTCCATTCATTATTCTTTGATTCAAGGTTTGTATCTGAGTCTTTTTCTCATGAGAATCAAGTTATGGTATGGCATTTTCGCCTTGGGCATCCTAATTCTCATTATATTAACAAATTGTATCTTCATTTGTTTATCAACAAAAAACCTAAAACCTGCCAACTTGTTAAACATACTCGACGAGTGTACCTAAGCCTAAAATACAAACCAACACGTCCATGGTTTATAGTAATATTTGGGGGTCCTAAAAAAAAATATAAATGGGGTTAGGTGGTGCGTCACTTTAATTGATGTTCACATCAGAACTTAGAGCTTTCTCATAAAGAAAAAATCTGAAACTGCTAGCATATTTGAAACATTCCACAACATGATTCTCACTCAATTTCTTTGTAAAATTTAGATTCTCAAATCTCATAATATAAAAGACTACTACAACTTCACTCTCAATCTTTTTCTATCTAAAAATAACATCATTCATATAAGCTTTTGCGTTGACAAAAGCCAACAAAATTTTGTGGCTGAAAGAAAGAATAGACATGTCCTCAAGGTGGCACGTTCAATACTATTCACTAATAATGTACTCAAACATTTCTCGGGGATGCAATTCACTAAATTCTCCCACACCTCCAGCTCCCACCAATAATAAAAAATTTTGTGTACACCACTACCACCACAACAACAACAAATCCTTAATCCCACTACGTGAGGTCGGCTACATGAATACTTTTTCTCCATTGCGTCCTATTTAGTATCATATTTTCATTTAGTTCTAATAAATTAAGACCATTTTTTATACAATAAGCCCAAGCCTTCTTAGGTCTACCTCTGCCTTAGTTAACATAAGTCGAATCTAAAACATCTACTCTCCTAATTGGATCATCAGATGGTCGACGTTTAATGTTACCAAACTTTTTAAGACAACTCTCTAATTTTGTCCGTCATTGGAGCTACACCAAAACTTAACCAAAAAGAAAAAAAATCATTGAGCATGTAATAGATAATCTGTACAAACCTTCAGAATTAACTCCACACACACCAAGTATTCACACAAAGGTTGGATCAACACATCTTGAGAATCAAGATGAAGGAGAACTAGAATGCACGATACACCCGATAAAAGAATTTGTGATCTATGAAAGATATATCATTCTCTTACAAATTTTGGTTCAGAACTTGGATAAGTACAGGTCCCAAATGCAATCCAAGAGGACTTATCTCCTTTTTGGAAAATAGTTGTGGAAGAGGAGAAAATAGTGACTCCAAGACCTGGATCACAACTATGCCACTTGAAAAAAGAAGTGTAGGGTGCAAATAGGTATCCAATGTTAAATTCAAAGCAGATGAGAGCATAGAATTGTTTAAAGCTAGACTTGTAACAAATGTGTTTACTCAATTTTATGAGATCAACTACTAAGAGACATTTGCACCCATGGTGAAACTCAACTCAGTAAGATTATTATTGTCAATGGTTGTCAACAAAAATTTGCTTTACATCAGATAGGGATCAAAAAGGCATTTCTTAATGGGGGTGTTGAGGAACAAGTGTATATCAAGATACCTCTAGGATTAAAAAATGACAAAAATAATCAGCTAGTGTGCAAATTAAAGAAATCATTTTATGAGTTGAAATAATCTCCTAGAGCATGGTTAGAAAGGTTCACTAGACTATTCTCGCCAATGAGTACTATCAGTGTCAGGTTGATCATACTTTTTTTAAGAAATCAAATTAAGAATGTATAATGGCCATCTTTATTGTATGTATAGATATTATTTTTATGAGGAATGAATAAGGAAACTTGAAACAATTAAAAGAATAATGACTTTTGGTTTTGATATCAAAGAAGCTAAATCCAAAGAAGACCTTGTCATATGCCAGAGAAAATAAATCCTTGACTTATTAAAGGAGACAAGAATGTTAGTGTACAAACTAACATATATTTCTATGGATCTCAATCGATGGACATCAATAGGAGAGGTTAACTCTAGTTGAAAAAAGGAGGTATCAAAGTCTTGTGGAAAAACTTATTTATCATCTCATACGAGACCCGACATTTCTTTTTTTGTAGGTGTGGTGAGCCAACGATTTGAATGATGATCATTTAGAAGCGATCTTTCGAATTCGGAAGTACCTAAATGGGTGACTCCAAGAAATTTATTGATATTCAAGAAAATTGAGAACTGTAAAATTGAGATATACACTAATGCTACCCGTGTAGGAGAACTGACTGACACCAGATCTGTCAAGGGTTATTGCTCATTTGTATGGGATAATCTGGTTGCTTGGAGGAGTTGAAAGCAAGCTGTGGTGGTAAGAAATAGTGCAGAATTTGAGTATCGTGCCTTAGGAATTTGTGAATGGATGCGGCTAAAGAAATTATTGGTGGAACTATACTTAGAGAAAAAAAGTATAATATATTCAGTTATAGTCAATTTGTTAACAATATTTCAAAGAATCTGATACATCATGATTGAACCAAACATATGAAGATTGACAGACACTTCTTCTCTGAGAAGGTCAATGGAAAGATTGTCCAACTAAGTTATATCCCAATTCAGCATCGAACTGCCGATATTTTTATCAAGGCTACTCCTCGGCACTACTTTAGTGATCTCAACAAGAAGCTTGGGATGTATGACAAATAAAACACAACTTGAGGTGGAGTGTCGATGCATATAGCCGTGGACAATATGGGCCCACTCACGGTTTGAAAAATAGTGAGTCTGCTGCTACATTTAAGGTGGAGAAATTATTCTCCCTTAGTTATCCATTTTTGCTTTTTTTGTTTCTTTCCTTATTATCATGATGATTTGAATTTCCCTCCAATTGTATTAGGGTTTCTCTGAGCTGTAAATATTTATTATTTGCTTAATGAGAAAATTAGAAAGTTTTTTCCTCTAAGAAAGTTCTTACTGAATTCCAGAATAATACTAATAAATAAAATTAGATAAAACAAATATATTATTTTTAAGTGTATGCAATTTATTATAAATTCTTATCTTTTTATTTATTTTTGTCATGTATGTATTGAATCCTCTTCACAATTTTTTTTTTCATTTTTTGTGCATGTCAAATTTTCATCATCCCTTCAAGTGGTTGTGCTTTCATTTTATTCTTACACGGTGAATTTGGTGATATTGGGGCCTTTTTTGGAAATTCTTTCTATATCAAATGCATTGACATTGCCAGCTTTAGGAGATGAACGGCGATTTGAGAACATTTTCATTCAATTGAGATATTTCGAGTATATCTTTTGTAATGTTGTGTGTACTCTTTGTGATGTTGTGTTTGATTTAATTGGATTGTGAAATAGATGCTCAGGTCAAGAAAACTTTAGACTATTGTGTCATATAAAAAGCCATTAGGATTTATTTTAATCATGTATTCATGACCTATAATAAAATTCAAACCACTTCCCTAATTTTGTGGAATGTTCGATTTCTCCTTTTTTTGTTTTAAATAACCTCTTCTCTTTATTATAATTAAAAATTGTACATTATCTATTTAGAATCGGGCACTTTCATCTACATGCTATTGCCATCTATTTCTTGCTTATATGCATCCAAAAGTAGGCAAAACTCATTAGGGAATAGAATATTCAATAAATCATCATATTTCCTCCCACCCTACTTCTCCCTATACTTATTCCTCTCTCTCTTTTATGATTCCTGTCTTTTAAACTGTGGGTTATACCTTTATTGTGTGCTACTTGAGCTAAAACTGAAGGAAAAAAGGCTAGAACATAATGAGTGAGAGAGAGAGAGAGCAAAAATTAAGAGGAAGTAGGATTATAGGAATGAAGATCATGTAGAGAAGCAAAGAAACTCAAAGAGGCTGCTATGTTTTATTCATCAATTTCTTGGAAGCAAGATCCTGTTAGTTAAATTATCCTAATTTTGGTCTTTATTACTGTTACATGGTTATTTCCACATTGGTTGCTATATTGGAAAATCTGTTTGCTTGAAATCATGCATTGATGCATATATCATTATCTAATTCAAATATTTTGGGTACCCAAAATTGTCATTAAAATCATCAATTGTGGATACAACTAGGTTTGGGTTTATGAAGCATTAGCTTCAAATAATTAACCAAATAACACTAAATCTATTTAATGATTTGTGGAGCGCTTGGTCTCTTATTGGAAATCAGATTGGTAAAAACTTCGCAAGAAGAAGGCCTGGATTTCCTAACATACATTTTATTAAAATTTCAGAATTTACTTGCATGTTGCGACCATACATGTTTCTAAACGAATTCTTTGAAAACCCCATATAAGTTTTCTTGCAAAACTTGAAGAATTGCTTTATCTACATCTAAAGCAAAGGTACCTTATCCTTTCTTTAACTTTAGATGGTTTGCTTCTGTATTGCAAGAAGGTTCACTAGTGACTGCAATCAATAATCTTGGATCGGTACGAGGCATTATTGTCTTGTCTCACTTTTCCCCATAACATAGAAAAATGTCTTGTTCTCGTTTAGTAACAGTTTACTGCTAAATGGTGTGCTCTATAGCACCTAGCATGTTAAGGGGCACACCTTGCCCAATTAAAATTGCAAAGTGCAAAGAAAAAATTTTCTATTTTGTATGCTATTCGTGCATTATAGCAGATATTGCAAGGTCCACTTAATGCGAGGTATTTTGAATGTTTCAGTTTTTTTATCGGTATTGAACGTTTGGTTTGGATTTTTTTTTATTATTTATGTTCTACAAAACAAGCTTTTTTGAAATCGATCTAGAGATAGCCTTTTTCTTCCTTTCCACCACGTGGATGGTTCTTCTATTTCTTAAACAGGATACACTTGAAACATTCTTAACACATTTTTATGGGTTATCCTTTGGATATCCCCTAGGCCTACGACCTCCTGGAGAACATATCTCTAGGTGTTCATAGTGCGAACTATTTGTTTTGATTCAATTTTTTTATTGGTATTGAATTGTATGGTATAAATTTTTTAATTTAAAGGCTTCAATGAGCTTTTTTGAAATAAGTCTAGGTTTTAGATGGCTTTTATTTTTTGACCATGCGGA